TCAAAAAAGTACTCCAGAGTGTTGTTCAGCATGGTGGTGAGTAGAAAATGAAGGCTAATCATGTTTTGGGTGTACTATTCCTTTAATGCCACCTTTGGTGAACCTTGCCCTTCAGAAAAGTAACAGCATTATCATTATATCAAGGTACGATTGTGTCTTTTCATTCCCGTCCCCTTACCTTGTGACCTACAGGATGAAAATGATGCTTCTATTCAACATTTATAGAGTATTTATTCCTGCTAATATTGAGCCAATCACAGGAACATTTAGCGTTTGACTTGAGCAGGCGCTTTTCTTTAGAAAAAGGTTAGAGAGACTCTTTTTGTCCCACTGTAGGCTTCCCAGATCTTCCCGTTTCTCCCCCTAACCTTGCGACCTAAGTGATGAAGATGATTATTTTTATCTCGACAAAAGTAACATCTGCTTCAACCAATTTGGTTTCTGATGGAAATGAAATAAAACCTTAGGATTTATACCTTATAGCATTGTATTGAATTTAACAACCCAAGTATTTTAGGATTTTCCAGGTCTTATGAATAACGATTATTCCTAAAACTGTACAGGATCGAGGAATAAAGCTTTACCAGCCAATGAGCTCGGCTCCTGAGGGTTCAGGCAGTGAAGGCGAGGATGAAAGCCCCTCAGCTGGAATAGCGCAGCTCAGCCTGGACAGCCTGAGCTCTCTGGAGGTCACAGGGGCTCAGGTCTCCCTGGATGAGCAGGGCTCTTTGCACTGGCCTGTGCTTTTTCTTTACCCAGAACATCAACAAAGTGACTTCATCTCAGCCTTTTGTGAGAACAACAGGTAAGCCCCTCATGTCTTTCCTGAACTCCTTTTTTAAACTGGTTTGTTTATCCTATCAAGCTTTGAATATATCAATTATTCCCATCTATTTAAACCAAGTAACACAACATGAGTTTATGTTTTTGAACTATTGTGAGAGTTTACCAAACGATTATGAATAAATTGAATAATTAGAACTTGAAGTTATAGTTAATTGATAGGTGATTCCCTTTTAGAAGCTCAGCCAGAGGGGTGTCTCTTCAGATGCGAGTAGCACTTGATCACAATAACCACATATTTCTCTGTTAACCAAAAACTTCTCTGAGTTTAATTAGGGTTTTGTGTAATTCAACAATGTTATATGGTTAAGTGGAACTAAATTTTTTTATTGTTTAGAAAAAATGCTTTTGAGCGTGGCTTTCATCCCCTTAAATAAATATTTCTGCTGCACTCTGGGGCTTAAAGGAGAACACCGTTTTTTTGTTTGTTTTGTTTTTTACATTGGGCCCTTAATTTTACATTATTACATCATGTTCTAATCACCCATATTAGTTTTGTGTCACTTGGAGCCGTTCTGAAGATATTCTGTTAGGTTATATCCAAATAACGTCTTCCTATGGGCAACGACTTGAAGGCACAAACTAAACTGTTCATCATTTATCGTTTATGGTATGCCAGCATTCATTACATGTAGGCGAATCACTACCCCCCATACATCCGCGGTTATATTTTTTATATTTATATATTTTTAAAACAAAGCAGAGTTTGTATGACGTCATCTGCGTGCGCCGGCTACCATTCATTCTTCCTGTCCACTAAACTGCTGCTAGTTTTCCTCACATGCCTGGAAGATGTCTAGTGCTGCTACCACAGATGATCTCGCTCTCGAAATGAAATTGAACGATTCGGATTAGCTAGAATGAATAGAAGGGGTAGAGCGTAGCCGCCTGTGGCCCGGGCTGCCTGTCACAACTCCAGTCTGGCGCGCGGATGACGTCATACACACAACGCTTTTGTTTTAAAAAAATATAAATATGAAAAATATAACAGCGGATGTACAGTAAACAGTTTAGTTTGTGCCTTCAAGTCATTGCCCATAGAAAAACGTTACTTGGATATAACCTAACAGAATATCTTCAGAACAGCTCCAAATTACACAAAACTAATATAGGTGAGTAGAACATGATGTAATAACGTAAAATCAAGGGGTCAATGTAAAAAAAAAAAAAAACGGCGTTCCCCTTTAAGTGCCATGTCTTTTTCCTTTTTACGCATTTTTTTCTTACCCTAACAAATATGAACCTTCATGTCTGGATGAAAAGCAAATGGAAACAGAGGACTAACAGCACTAAGCTCTTTAATTATCTGTGTTTTACATTTCAACATTTAAGGTAATGGGAGGAGATTTACTTTCCTTAACAAAATGGCATCTTTAACGACCACATGGGGGCACTGTTTAGCTATCTTTTGCATTTTTTTCACTTTTTGAGGCGAGCAATATTAAATAATGTTTAACTTTAGTGGAAAATAATCTTGTCTTGGAGAGAATTTGTTTTTGTTTTATCTTTTTTTAATTTTACTTTTCTGGATTAGTTTCAGAGATCACCTGTCTGTCATGTTTGGGGAGGAACTTCCACCTTGGGACACAGACAAAAAATACCACCCGCAAAATCTGCAGGTTAGTACCTCTGTTCTTTTCACGTTAAACAGTCTCAGCTTGTTTGAAAAGGTAGGGATTAATGATGGGAGAGAAAATCTAAAATGATTTCTTTCCCATCATGAATGAGTCAGACCTGTTTGTTTTCAACGTGAATCATGTCAGCAGAAGTAATATGGTTACATGTTTTAAAACATTACTGTAGGATTTCTATTTGTTTCAGTAAACAAACGATAGATTTCCTTTTTAAACAGCGTCTGAATTTCTCTTCCAGCTCTACTTTGAAGATGAGGAGAAAGAGACTCTCTACCAAGTTGATCCTGATTCGTCACTTTTGAACATTTTGCAGCATAAAAGGTATTTATGTAAATAAAATCATAAAAAGAAAATTAGATAGTACTTGAGACAACAACACTTTATTCTTTTGTATTCTTTTATTTGGCTAAAGACAAAGCTGACATGTTTCCAAATGTATTTATCAAACTTTTACATATTTAATACACAAAGACAGACAAAAGCAACACAAACAATACTAAAATAAATATAAAAAAATGAAATTTAATTAAAAAGAAAAATTAGTCTAACTATGCTTCGCTAAACAGGGATAACGAAATACAATGGCATCTGGAATAGCAGCTATGGAACAGTTATGTGTTTTTCTAACTAGTTAGTTGTGTGTTTGCATACCTGACATGTTTCAACATTAAATTCCATCGTCATCTGCTCATGTTTGTAATGGCAGTATTGACAGGCCAACACCGCCCTCTGCTGGCAGCTTGTCAGTGTACATGTCAGATGTGTTCTTACGTCAGACATCCCCAATGTCGGTCCTCGAGGTTTTAAAGTTTTCCCTGCTTCAGCACAACTGATTTTCATTGATAGTTGATTAACAGGCTTTTGCTGAACTGAAATCATGAGAATCAGTTGTGCTGAAGCAGAGAAACCTCTAAAACCTGCAGGACAGCGGCCCTAGAGGACCGATTATGGGGATTCCTGGCTTAGACAAATAAATGGCATGTTTAGTAAATGAGGAGAACAAAAAGTATTAGCAAATATACTCACTATGAAAATTGTGGAGACATGAGTCAACTATGGCAAGAAAGTAATTTTTGAATTTAAATTTAGGATTTCCCTGTTTCTTCAAAACTAACTAAACATTCTGTATAACCTCCTTT